CTTAACAGCCCTGTTAAAAATTTAACACTATCCCATCACTGCATTTCAAAGGAACATGTATTCATTTTTAAATACATAAATAATGTCTGCCAGATACATCCAACCTTTAATACTATAAAGAATATGTGGTATGTTTCTAGGGACTTGTAGCGTGATTTTCCTCTATTTGAAGAACTCATTTCAAGCCTTTTATTTCTGCTTCATCTGCCAACTTCAGTCATTTTTGTCTAAGCATTTAATCTAAACATGAAGTATTTGAAAAAAATCTGGAAAAAAAAAGGTGTTTAATCACTTTGAACGATAATGTCTAGGGAAGAAAATGTCTTCCTATTCACATCCATTTATGAAAAGGACCTTCTCTGAATTATTTTCTCCCTCTTTCTTTCCATAGACCTGATGCAGAATAAACTCTGAGTCTAAAATAAGCACTGAGGATGAATAAGAGAAGAATGTGAAAGATACAAATCGGGATTACTTAGAAAAGAGACTACAGGATATTATCCACACTGCTGTCTGAAAATACAAACACTTCTCATTACCCTTTTTTGTTCAGACACGGAAAGAGAGCAACCCTGAAACACACTGGATGCCTGGTGCCAGGGACAGGAATCCAAGCAAGAGGTACACTGAGAGGTAATGTCAGTGAAGGGCTTGGACACAGCCTCTGACAGATCAATCTCCAATATTGATCCACTTGGCAGGATGCTGCACGGGGGAACAAGCCTTCCTAACACAATAAAAGGACAGAAAATCTGCAAGAGATCGTGTGAGATATCCTCAAAATTTCAGCCTGTGGATTCAACTTGCAAAGGCGATGAGCTGAGCCTTAGAGAGAATAGAGCAACCAATTTATTGACTTTTCAGAACCATATCAATGATAAAACATCAACCTAGATGGTCTCCAACACCCAAGAAAGCCAAGTGTATTTACCATTTCTGATTGCCTTTTATGCTTTAGTCTTCTGCTACTGAGTTAAAATAAAAGCTACAGTAAAATAATTGCAGTGCTTTTTTTAATCTTTGTGAAAAAATCATCTCAGTGCATTCCCTTATTCTGTCCTGACTTACATAGCATACAATGCTTGTAAAGCTTCTCTCCATTTAGGAACCACAGCTAATAACTAGACTTTCAAACAGCTAAAAATTAAGTTTCATAGAAAAAAAAAACCACCTGAAATTAAAAAAAAAAATGGAATGAAGAAATCTGAAAAACAGACACAAAAAAAGAAACACTTCCCAGTTCATCCACTCTCTCTAAAGGACCATCCTCAGTTGTAGTGACAGTTGCTGTAACAATACTTTTGGTTATTTCTGGATTTTACCTTCAGCCTTCATTGAAAATGTCTGTTCTGGCTATATTTGAAAAATCAGAAAAAGTTATTGAAAGTTTAATTGAAAACTGACAAGATGGAAGTGTGTGCATTGATGAACTAGCTAGGTATGACCATCTCTACAGAGAAATATTAATGTTTCTTGACTCTAGAGTGAAAAAATAGAGGTCTATCATCAAGAAACTAGGAAAAAAATGTTATGTACAAACTAATTGGGGAAAACAAAGACTACCCAAGCACAATGAAAAGCTAAAGTTGAAAGTTGAAACACAAAACCTTGAGTAAGTTTCTTAGTTTTAATATTCAAGTAGAACTGATTCAGGTCCTGCCACCTACTAACTGTGTGTTGGAGGTAAGCAGGAAAGACTATTCCCCGTGACAATTAGAAAGACTGCTCTGAGGCAAAATTTGGCAAAATCTAGGCAAAGCTTTCTTTACAGAAGACCTTGTAAAGGCTTTCAGTGCCCATATGCTCTGTCTTAACATACAGTAACTATTGCTTGAGGAATAAATATCTTTCTCTTCTTTTTTTTTCATTCTTTTTTTTCTATCAAGAACATCAGCACTTATCTAATAAACTTTGGAAGCCAGAGTGTCAAGAGAGCCTGGAAAGAAAGTAAGCCTGAGAAAAAACTGTAAAAGTACTTTGCTTGCAAGGACATCAGCACTTATCTGAGAAATTTTGGAAGCCAGAGTGTCATGAGAGCCTGGAAAGAAAGTAAGTCTGAGAAAAAACTGTAAAAGTACTTTGCTTGCAGTGCTAAAATCAGAGTTAGCAGCATATAGTTATAAAGATAAATCAATCTGCCAGATTTCAAACAATTAATTTGGAAAAAATAGATGAATAATCAGGTTTAATGTTTAAATTAAATGGTTTCCATTTTTTTTATCCTACAAATCATAACCCAACCACATCAATCTGCCAGACTTCAAATAATTAATTTGGAAAAAACAGACGAATAATCAGGTTTAACGTTTAAATTAAATGGTTTCCATTTTTTTATCCTACAAATCATAACCCAACCAAATTATCTTTCACCTTATAATTTACAAAATTAAATATTTTAATTTAATTAAAAATGTTTTAATTAGCCTCTTTAATCATAATTTAGCCTTATAAATCTTTAGAAAATTCAGATATGCTTTGTTTTTCAACTGTTCTGTTCAATTTTTGGTTTGTTTGTTTTTCTAAACAATGCAGCTTTTCTTCTCTCAGGCTAATGTCAAAATAAATTTATATCACTGATCTGGTTGGATGCCTATAAGGCATAGCATCATAACACTGAACTTAAACATTTCAGAGAAATAACAGCTCAAAAAGACAGTACAGTGAAAGTAAAATTTGTTTAATCCCGTGCAAATTATCTTTCACCTTATAATTTACAAAATTAAATATTTTAATTTAATTAAAAATGTTTTAATTAGCCTCTTTAATCATAATTTAGCCTTATAAATCTTTAGAAAATTCAGATATGCTTTGTTTTTCAACTGTTCTGTTCAATTTTTGGTTTGTTTGTTTTTCTAAACAATGCAGCTTTTCTTCTCTCAGGCTAATGTCAAAATAAATTTATATCACTGATCTGGTTGGATGCCTATAAGGCATAGCATCATAACACTGAACTTAAACATTTCAGAGAAATAACAGCTCAAAAAGACAGTACAGTGAAAGTAAAATTTGTTTAATCCCGTGTTTTGGTTTGCCTTCCTTGATTGTCATTAGTTTGCAAAATGAAGTTGAAAATTCCTGTTGTATATTGGCATTTCTTTTGAAATTAAGTACTGCAGTTGACGCACAATGATATACATTTTTATGACACAGCTAATATAGATACACCAATATTTCAGTCACAGCAGTTCATTTATATCACTGATCTGGTTGGATGCCTATAAGGCATAGCATCATAACACTGAACTTAAACATTTCAGAGAAATAACAGCTCAAAAAGAACAGTGAAAGTAAAATTTGTTTAATCCCGTGTTTTGGTTTGCCTTCCTTGATTCTCATTAGTTTGCAAAATGAAGTTGAATATTCCTGTTGTATATTGGCATCTCCTTTGAAATTAAGTACTGCAGTTGACGCACGATGATATACATTTTTATGACACAGCTAATATAGATACACTGATATTTCAGTCACAGCAGTTCATTTGAAGCACAGTTGGCAACATAGTTCTGGCCAAGTGTCAACAAATTTGGTGGCCGACTATTTTGGGCAAAACAGAGAGTAGCATCTTTTTAACTTAGTCAAAATGTTAATCCACAACAAGGATCAAAAGTTTTTGACTCTTAACACATTTAGCAAAAAATCTCAGCCTAAGCTTTTACCTCCTAAATTTACCAATGACAATTTCAGAAAGTCTAAAATCAGTAGAAGATCAAATTCCCCTGTATTTAATTATTTTTTGGCAAAACTGATATGGGAAAGATACAGGGAATGTGAATTAAACCTACACTCTAGCAATCACACCGAGTCCCAGATTGCACACGATGCTATATTATCATTAATGGGAACTACTAGACTTAGTGAGGAAAACAGAAACTTCACAAATTGTTACCAATTCAACAACACTTCAGCAAGTCTAAAATCAGTAGAAAATAAAATTCCCCTGTATTTAATTATTTTTTGGCAAAACTGTGATACGGGAAAGATACAGGGAATATGAATTAAACCTACACTCTAGCAATCACACCGAGTCCCAGATTGCACACGATGCTATATTATCATTAATGGGAACTACTAGACTTAGTGAGGAAAACAGAAACTTCACAAATTGTTACCAATTCAACAACAACGAAGGTTAGAATGACATTTTATCAACTTTGTGAATCAACACTGCTATAAGACAACTGTGTCCTTAGCTCCAGTCCACTCACCATTTTGAGTGTGCCACCTCCCTCTTCCATGCTATAATCACATTAATTATCTCCCATGGCAGTGAGTCCCCTTCCTATTTTCAACAGGCTTTTCTTCTTATCCTTCACAAGATGCTAACCAAGGGGAAAAAAAACCCAAACCGGCAAATAGATAATGCAAAGGGGTGCAGTCATACATCTGCTGAGTTTCATTGCTATGAAAAATCCCAATGGAACGAATCCTGTTGGAGCAATGACTGGGAGAGTTTTGGGCAACAGCAGTGTTCAGCCTAAAAACCTAGTGTGACTGAGGGCAGCACCCCTCACACTGTGAAAGCAGAGGACCTCACGGGGTTGGAACCCAACCTTACTGAGTAAATCTGAGATCAGTTTGGGATCCTCTGGAGATTTAGGAGGACATGGGCAAGAGTCAAACTTATTCTTCCCATGAAGCCTTCTAAGGAGGAAGCTTATAAAATGAGAATATTCCAGAGCTTCCAACATTTATAGAAGAAAATATCAGTAAACCCTCTGTTCAGTAGTTTACATTATCAATTCAGTAATGTGATACCTAAATGAAAGACTACTCATGGTTAAAACTCTAATGTATGTCACCTTCATGTTTGACAGAATGTGTGATAGTTTGGAAGCTATTATTTCAAAACTCATATGTTGAAATTTTCTAATTGACTGGTCATATGTTTCAAAATGATTTTATAATTATCAACTGAACAAGCTAAATTAACCCTGAAACTTGTAGTAGTAAGTATTAATCTGCTGTTACTTACCTATCTACTTATCTGCAAATAGACCTACCCATGAGAGTACCAGCTGCCGTTGTGATGCACTGCACCCTGCACCGATTGACACCTCTGCACAGAGCTGTTAGAGCATCGAATGACCCGACCCCTTCCTGTGCCGTCACATCTCTGTGCAAATGGAAACCCAGAGTTCTCCACACATTTACACACTGACGTCAAAAGCCTTTCAGGAGCTAGGGATTAGGCTCAGAGAGCTTTTCATTAAATTCTCCTTTAAGCACAGATGACTTTCATAGCTTTCGGTAAGTCTCCTTTTGCCTCAGTACCACATCTTTAGAATTGGGTTAATACCATCTCCCCATTTCACAGGAATAACACTGTGAAGACATAAGATACCAGACTAACAAGGTCAAGATGGTCATATCACTTTTGCATATATCTGTGGACACTGGGTTTTTTATAATGAATAATAAAATAAGAATCATTTCAGAAACTTAACATCATTAAGAAAAAAAAAATCCTTAAGAGAATCAGTAACATATCCAGTAACAGAACATAAATGTCTATTTTTCCCATGAAATAGCTTTTCATGCGAAGCCTCAGTAATGTATTCATCACAATCAAAACAAAGCTTGAAAACTGAAACTATCACACACAAGAAACAAACACAAAAAACCAGAATATATTCTCCAAAGCTATGACTACTTGTTAGTCAGTGAGAAAGTTACTTTTAAATTGTACACCATACCATGAAATATTTAGTTTTGTTGCAACCTAGCTTGTAACATCAAAATATTTCCTGTTTTGTATGATGCATAACATGAAACTTTTCACAGAAAAAGTAAATATTGCCTGATTTTAAAAAATCCTTATTTTTTTAATACTTAGAGATGCACATAGGTAGCATTTTATGTCTCATATATCATCATGAATGTTCAAAACACTTCAAAAAATAATTTAATGCAGGAAATAATTGCATGCAGGACTGGCAAGTACAGCTACAGTAACTTTCAGATTGTCCTTCCCTTCTTTCCTGTTAGAGATGTTATGTCCATGAAGATCTTTCTCCCTGATGCAACAAATTCTCCCTAACCTGTGTATGATTTGCAGTAAGCATGCAAAGTCACCTTGCCTTAGAGCTTTTAACATCACTCTTTTTCATGAAAAATTGTAATCCAGAGCAATATTCTGACAGTTTATTTCTTTTTAATGTCATTTACTTCCTTTAAATGGTTGCTAAATAGTGCAAATTATGAATGATAGATGTGTAGAACACCACAATCATGATGACGACCCAACTTCTAAGCACCATCTTTCAAGAAATTTAGTTTAGACTGACTCTAGTCAGGTCCCACAGATCTTTGCCAACATTAAGTGTGCTCCTACAGTCCACTCTAGTTTCATCCAAGAGGAATCCAGTTCACCCATCTCAAGACTGCTTCAGGATGCGAACCAAAGTACAGTCAGTGGGGACAATGATAATATTCACTGGTCCAAACTAAACAGTTAATACAAGTGTGCTTATCATGTAGGTCTATAAACTAATTTCCATCTTTAGAACTACTGGGATTTGGCACTTCCTGACTTCAGTGAAATGATTCCCAATTTTTCCACAGTAAGTAAAAGTAGAATACAAGTTTAAAGGAATTTAATAGTATATATCTTACACCATTTACTATATATGCAAAAGATTCAGAAACTCACCATATCAGTATCTGAAACAGGTCCAAAACTGGTCACGTAGATGTTAGTGAAGACTTCAGTAATACTATCTGATATAAAAAGAAAAAACAAGCAAATATTTTACATTTATAGTACTTCTTCAAACTCTCTATGCAAAATTATGGGACATTTTGAACAAGTTTCTGTCCTTATTTACTTCCTCTAACCAGAATTCTGCTGTAAATACCAAGGGTCTCTACCCCACTTAACACAGAGGTTATCAGACAAGAGTTTGCCCCAGTGAATAGTTTGCTTCAGTTAAAGGACTATACAGCCATCAGCAGCTACAAACATATTTCCCATTTCTCCATTAGCAAAAATAACCACGCTGTCTTGGACTTAACAGAGTAGTACAGTTCTAAACAGAAGAGGCCTTTGTTGCAGAGGTGTGATCTCTGTTCTTGCAGATCATTCCTATTAAAGCCTTTCTAGTTCAAGGCTGCTTTCCTCATCCTGAATAGCTTTTTCAAAGCCAAAGACAAGAAAAAGCTTACAAAGCAATTACTGACTAAACCAAATGTAACACGCAACAGCATCCTACTTTTTAATAGGGTATGTTTTTAAGTGGAATGTATTTTAACATAATAGTTCCTTCCCTTGATACACGATGCTCCTGATATATTATTGTGGTACTGTAAATACCATAAGAAAATGTTCTTCCTAATCATTGCAGTCAGACAGCCATGAAATCAGAATATTAAATATTGTACTGCAGGGAAAAATAATTGCTGAGTTTTCTCTCTTCAGTTTTCAATTAGGCTCAAAATGGAACAATATTGACGAAGAGGGATAGCAGACACTTGCAGGAAATTTCTTACAGCAATTGCCAACTACCGTCTGCCTTGAACACAGTCAACACGAGGAATTCTCTGCCTTAAAGCCAGTTGCTGGCCGGAAAAGAAATATTTGAATACAACTAGCTCAAATTTGACCCACCCCAGAATTTCCCATTCCTAAAAAATACTACAGCTGCCTGTTATATGAGTGATCCTGCTGTTATATTATGATTTCCATATTTAATCAAAATTTAATATGGATTCTTAATAGTTTCTGTATTCCTAAAAGCAACCTTTTGACAAATACGTGGCATAGGCAGATTTTACATTGAATTGTATCGAGGCCAACAGTATAATCCCTGCCCTCTATTGGGAGAGATCAGCAGTGCCCACCCATGATGGGGGATGCTCTACCAGCCACCAGGCAAAGGCAAGACTGTTCAGTGAGCACGGGGAGCAGTGTATTTTCAAAGGGAAGTAGCTGCACCCAAAGCAGAGATGGGATGATGCAGTACTTACAGAAGACTTACGGAGTGTGGGGGAGGCACATTCCTGCACTCTTGTCTTCAAGGAAACCTGTATTTCCTTTTCCAGCCAAACACTAGACGCTCTTATTAAAATATCGGTCTTTGTGATGCCTTTCCCACCCTAAAGAATCTAAAGATCTACTCTGCTTTTTCAGCAAATAAATAAAGACTGACTCTTAGTATGTGTCACTGAAAGTTCAAAAGCACAGTTCCCCTGCACATCCTGGGTCTGACTGAAATGCCATACAGAAACCACAGGTGCAGTTCAGAAGACTAATGACCGCATGTTGCCTGTGGGAGACTCTCCAGAAAAAAAAATTATTATTCTCTCCAAATGGTTACCTGGCACAGGCTGAGCTAAAATGGAGAAGTGACAAGAGAGCTTCTCTTCAGGGGGTTAAACAGTGCTGCAGGGACTAACTGTGAAATTTGGCCTGTGCTGTGAAATTTGGCCTGTGCTATAATGACAACACAAAATCTTAATTAAAATTCCATGAAAAACAGTGAACTGGTGTTAGAAAAATATGACTGACAATCAAGTATCCTGACAGCAGAGAACCAAGGCTAATTTTATATATACTGGTATAATCTGAAGGAACCCTATATAGGCAACAAAGTCACTTGGCAATTCTTAACCTGCACACACACACCCCCCTTTTAAATTGTTGGAAGCATCATCCTCTTGTAACCTCACCCTATTGCTATCAGTTGCTTGCATCTGATGTATTATTTGAAATCTGGGAATGACCTTATGCTTTGTGTATAGTAAACTATGGGACATGGAATCTTCAGGCTTGCCTTGCATTTTAAGTTTTAATTACAAAAAAAAGTTCCCTATTCTTATCATATTATTTCCACACATTTCTGGATCCATCCTCCCATCAGAAAGGAACAGAGAAGACAGAGCTGAGAACAAACAAACTGACTGCAACATATCATTGAATGCCATTACAACAGTCTGCAGATTCCTCTTGTTGGTGTGCATTACTCGCTTCAAATCACTGCAAATCCTTGGGGTGAAGGATCAAGACTTGAGGAGTGGAGGGGGAGATGGATGGGAAGAAGAAGACGCTTGTTATCCACTGACTCTCAGGTGCAAGAGCTTCATTTCAGGTTGTCATAATTTAGATAAGCACTTCAATGTACCTAAAAAGTCCCTGATAGTCTCAGGAATGGGAATGGATGCAAATTAATTGTGCACTTTTATCTCTTTTTTTTTTTTTTTCCCAAAACTGCCTTAAACCAGCACAGCTCCTGGCAATGGTGACAGCAGTGAGTTTCAACCCAACCAGTTGCTCTCCCCTGAAGTAAGGGTTCATCCTGGTGGCTGGCACTCCACGAGGCTGCTTCTCCTCAGGAGAGAGCCACACTACAGCAGCGAGTGAAGGGAATAGGTAAAACATCTTGAAAAAGGGTATGAAAGAGACAAGAGAAGCTGAAAAGTTACAAGAAATGAGAAGACTGAAGGGAAAGGAAGGATGAGAAAACAGAACAAAGGAAGACAGTGAAAAAAAAGAAAGTACACACAAGAGGGACTGGCAGATTTTTATCTTTGCCTCCTATTTTCTCTCAAAATTCTGCATTTTTTCTAAATTTCTATTCATACCCTACATAAAAAGAAACTGATCCTTAAAGACAAAGGAAGCTGAAACATAATATATCTTGAATTATTCCTGTTACCATCTGTTAGCGTTAGCAGTCTGGGCCTTGTGTCTGTTTCTTCTTTGTTACTTTACACAGTTACAATAAGGATTCCTCTGAATTACAAACTTGAACTCAAGAGTTTCAGAATCACCGTCTACAAAAGGAAAAAAATAAACCCTGCTTTTTAAAAACAGATATTGCAGTAATTGTTTTGAAGGAATGCATGCTCATCAAATAAAGTCTGTATTAAAACATACCACTTTGTCCCACTAGTAACTTACTGAAAAAAAATTCAGAAGCACAAAGCACAGCTTCAGATGGACTCTCTAATCAGAATTCATCCAGCAGGCTCCACAGTTACAGGCTTTTTATAACTCACGTTCTGTCAAGAACAGAACAAGCCCACTGGAGATTCAAACAGTTCTGGATCATCAGCGCTTGTGGGAGAGCCAAAGGAATGTACTCAGCTAAAAAATGTTCGGTGCAACATGTGTTGGTGTACAAATTGAGAGTCTATTTTTTAAGAAAAATTAAGAACAAGTTTTTTTGACTAGAATTATAGAATATTTTTCTTCAATTGACATATAAAGATGCAACTAAAAGGCCTGATTTTCAAAAGTAGAGGCCTCTGCTTTTGGAAAAGTCTAGTTTTTAAAGAAGAACTCTCTGTTGGGAAGAGGGATGGCTGACTCAGTTATACTTGTGAGCTCTTAAGTTATTCTGAATCACTGCCTTTGAAGGTTAAACAAAGAAACAGGAACAGGAAAGGATAAGGATATAGTTTCTATTTCTGTTGCTTCTTTGAGGGGAAAAAAATCTCGAGTAAAGAATACGACATGTAGATGCCATCATCACATGAAGTGCTCTGAAATTCAGTAAACGCTCTTATAGCATCATTTCTAACTTGCCTTGGCCATAATTGTTAAATAAGAAGCCTTATCTGGCTTAGCTTAGGCCAATTTCTCAGAAGATGGAAGCCAAAGGTAAACTGACAAAACAAAAAAAGTCAAATAAGCTAAGAGTAAAGAGAGGAATCAAAACACATCCCGTGGAAGTAGTAAAAGCATTAGGATTGTGTTTCACATGGTTCTCAAGCACTGGTTTCTTCTGATTCCCTTTTCTTACTTGAACCGTCATGACAACAATACTGAAAAAAAAAATATCAAAAACTAAGAAAAAGCAATAAACATATCAAATTGCTAAAGATTTATAGATCCTTATTTATCTATCCTTATCTGGAAGGTTTACTGTGTGTTTTAACTACATTTGAGATTTTACAAGCACTAATTATAATAACCTCTCTCTGAAGATAATAATTTTATTATCTTCATTTTTCCGTACTTGGGAAGCTGAGGCAGAAGGATTAAATAAAGTGTGAGTAATGTGAAGTACAGGTGTTTACCAATCTTGTTCCAGCTGTTCAACGTTAAGTACCCACACTGGAAAATGTCAACATCATTGACTCATCAAAAATTAGAAGAGGACTTCAGAGCTTCAAGTTGTTACCAGTGTCTTTGTCCATTCCATTATACCAAGTCTCCTGCTGCTGGGACAGCCTTTCTGATGGTCTGAAGTCCTGCTGACTTGTTCCTCGGTAGAAGAGCTGGCTCAGCTGAAGTAAGCTGCTTGGCAGAGAATTTGCAATGACTGAAGTCTAAATCAATCACAGGTTGAGTAATGGAGATGGTCAGAAAAGTCGGATGAAAGGGTTCCTCATCAGCATTTACCAATTTGACAAAATTGGAAATTTCCACAGCGGCAATTCAATTTTGAATGAGTTCCTTTGGACTGCTGCTTGCCAGGCAGTTTTCAAAATTTCTCTGCTTTCTTCAAATGTCCCTTCTCAGCTGCCTGCACCTCTGAAGGGGTACACAAGATTCTAGTGTCTGCGATGTGGGGCAGCTAGACATGCAGGGCTGGGCACACCCGAGAGCTCTCCCTTTCTTTCCTGGAGAACTTTGAGGCAGGATTATCATTCTTGAAAGAATTTTTCTGAACACATCTCAAATTTGAGAATCATCTGTGTTTTGCTCATTCCTTCTCTCCTGTCACCAGAATAATCTACAATCCTTTCTGCACAGAGAGTAGTGACAAAACATGCAT